GCCTTGGGGAAAATTTTTTCCGGTTGTTGACTTTCGACGTGATTTTTCCTGTTTCATGTGTATTATATACCCCTCCGCTCGACGGAAAACCTTTGGGTGAAAAACTGGAAAATGTGGAGAATAGGTAAGATTGGTACAGCTAGGTGTTGGGGAGGTTCGTACCGAGACCCTCCCTTGAAGTGGGGGGGGGTCGTACTGACGCTACCATTCCACACATCACGATGCTGTACCCTGACTATGAGTACATTGCTAAGCAGTGAGCGTGCTCTTTGCTTGAGTGGAGTGTTTACTCGAGCCATGCCGTTCGAAATACGGAAAAACCACGGACTAATCAATGAAATTCTTCTCAAGGCCTCGAATGTTCAACCAGTGCCAAAACCGGCAATTGCTGGGACAGGAAATCAAACATCCATTATGACCATTGAAGCAGATGCTATACCTGGTAAAGGAATCGAATACTACACGGACTACCTCTCCCAATCGAAGGCCAGTAGCGAAGCGAATCGAAGGCTGAATGCTTGAAGGACCCGATTCCCACTCTTTCTCGTAGGAATCGGGTCCTTCAAGCATTCAGCCTACTTCACTTTGCTTTCAGTTTTTTGAATACTCCAAATTGCTCGGAGTACTCGTATCAGAGCGAGTGAGCACCGTCGACTTCAAGACATTTACATACCAGTTCATCCTAGCGAATTGTAGCTGTGAAAAGGTAGCGTATGAGCGGTATTTTCAGCAGCTCTTCATCGTTTTCAAGGCGGAAAGGTGGTTGATACAAATCTTGAACGAATCGCAGTTCTTCAAAAAGAGGTATGAATTGGCATGCCCTAAACGAACGTTAGCTATCAACGCTTGAACTGTCGACAGCCTACGTCTTGCAATAACGTGATTAAAACCGCGATTTTCAATTTCCTGTGGAATAAATCTTGAGTAAGTAGTTTCGCGACACTCACAATACCAAGTTGTCATACTCCAGGTAAACAACTGAACCTCAATGTGTTTTCGAGGAGAGTCTATTCCCTCTTCCCCACTCTCCCTTGGGCACACTCACTCTTAAGAGAAAATGTTTAAGATGGATGAAAGTCCTGTGACCGTTCAATTCATACAGTTCTAGAAAAAGACCAAGAAACATTTTGAATGTTTTCACCCCCGATTAGTGGACGCAAATACAGCATCACCTAGGTATGACGACCGTGTCGTTCAAGCCACCCCAGTTTCTCCTCTGGCACAACCTCCCTTCCCACCCTGCCTACCATTTTCCAAATCTTTCCAACGCCCTAGCAATGTTTCGAGCATATCATGAAAACTGGCTCCGAGTGGTGGGAAGGGGATATATAGCGCGAAACGGGAAAAATGCTGCACAGCGGAGAAATGGGAATTTTATGAGAAACGTTAAAGGTACGTTCAAAAAAATCGGACGATTATAGTCGTGATCTGAAACGATAGGGCGTGTAATGCGGCGTGGATTGGAGCGACCAGGGTGGCCATTTCTTAACAATAGAGCCATTCCGAGCTAGCTACAACAGAAGGAGAATCCGCTTTAGCTGCGCTCCAGGCTATCCCCTTACCATGCCCCTTATTTTGCAAGGATCATGACATGACTGTACGTACCTGCCATCCCAGAGTTGTCTTGTATTGTCAACGGCCACGACACATGTCTTTGCTCTATCCAAACATCAGGAATCTTCACTGAAAACATTTTTTTCTGGTAATGGAGAACAGACTGGCAATCAAGGACAATCTTTACTATTCCTCACGTGATTTTGGAAACACGGGTATATTGGAGTAAATTAAAAGGCATATTACACGATTGCGAGTCAAATTACAGCGTAAATCCTAGGAGTGGGGAAAAAACTGAGTGATCGTTGGAAATCCTTGAAATGAGATCTTCACCCATGTATTTGAAGGCGGTGTAGCGGCAAGTGGCGTGGGTCAAATCCCGGGAGCGCCCCCGCTCAGACCAATCAAGCCTTCTCCTACGCGGACGGCTATTTCGTACCAGATCCACCTGGAGGATAAGAACACTGACTTGTAGCCACTACAACTCATTGTACAGCCACATCGCATTCAGTAGGCCACTACGATTCTGAAAGGAATCGCATGCCACAGACCCAAGGGTTGGTCAACGGCGAAGAATTCGATCCTTCTATCCCTTTAGTTGATTGATAGCAACGTGAGAGCTTGCATGGGAAGGATAGAGGACGAGCAAACATACCACACGACTAATAATATAAAAAGAGAAAGCCCAGTAAGTCGTATGGGCATACAGCGATTGCGATATGAAATCAAATGAGCCGCTGACTCTGCGGGGCCAGACCTGCCCTGCAATGCCTCTGGTGACCTCTGCACATGTGAGATACAAACCCTGGGTTTACTGATTGGGTGTCATGGTGCGAAGGAAAAGCTTCACACATGAGGTGATCGCGGAACGTGTCTCCGAATCAAATAAAGCTAAATGTACATCCAACAACGCCGACGAGCAAAAGACCTAACTCCATGCAGGACTCGAACCTGTACCACACGCTCACTGATCTGACGAACCATAAATCCATCAGGCCGCGTTCGTACCTTGTGAAAATGAGAACTGGAGAACTGGGGAATCGCGCAATCGGGTGAATCCGAGGATCAGCGGAAAGGAATGAATAATCATAAGTCTAAGCAAATAGAATCGAAGAATCGTAGGTCCGGGGAGTTCAAGGAATCGTAGAATGACCGAAAAAGATGAGACACTTTTCAGTCAGGAAAGTTAGTCAATTCTCTCGATCCTCCGGTTCGTCAGGGCTCCAGATCGATTGACATATATCATTTTTAGTGATTTTTCCAATCCGCTAAATTCTGCGATTCCCCGATTTTCCGAGTCTCTAGTTCCGTAAGGTATACACGCTGCCTCAAGCTAAGTAGATAGTAAGATTGATCGAAAAACTAACGTACCTGTTTTGTATCTATCCAGGGTGGTTGGGCAGCCAATGATTGATAAGGCAGATCAGTCTGTAAAAAATGGGTGCCTGATCATGATCGGTGAAGATCACATCGTCTCAGAACTCATGATAAGTAGAAGCTTAGATTGATAATGTTCCTTACCACTCCATTTTAGACGCTTCTAGTGATGCTCTTGATGGAATCGTCAAAGAAAGGGAAGACTTGGGACTGGAGGAGTAACCTAAAGTAAAGCTTCGACGACTAAGGTGTCGATAGATCTGTGCACAACACCTTTGAAGGAGAAATCGCCAGCTGTCACCTCTTCCAAACATCGACATGCTTATAGGTGTCCTGCCCATCCTTGAACAAGGATCAAGGAAGAAGGATTCATCGAAATCCGGGCGATCCGACTAGCTTTATCCTCCCAAAGGCATCTCTAGAGTGAATTGGCATCATGGCTGCTTTTGTAAAGCGAAAGCGGTGCTATAAAGGACAGAGAGGTAATCAACTGAAAAAAATTAATAATTTGCACAAACTGGTAAGTACGTCGATCACTAATACATCTCAAGCGGGTTGGTGCTCAGCCACCTCCACAAACCCTGAGTAATCACCTGTTTGCATGTACAGAAACTATTTACCATTGGGAGTAATACTCTTCCATAACCTCTGCCTGGAAACATGATGCACAGAGCAAACTCAGACTAAATCGATCCTTGATAACCGAGCTCTACTTCCACTCATTTCAGCGAGAATACGTCTTTCGAAGGCACATAAAGTCCCCGAATGATTATTCTTACGATGGCACGAAAGGAGTCGAGTTTTTGAGCGGCTTAGAAGTTGGCCCAATAAGCAACCCATCCGAAATATTTCCTAGAATAGGAGGTATTCAGGATAACTGCAGCGCTTTCCGAAACTGGAAATATTGCGCTTCGCGATAGTTTTCTTCACTTTCTGAAGAGCTGTGTATAAAGGAACTTATTAGTCGTCCGAAGCACAAAAACTCGCATGCGATGTGCCATTAATCCATCAAAACCCATCTGAAACATTTCTCAAACAAGGAAAGATGTAGGTAAAAGGTAGTAAGAATCAACTGTACGGACTGCTCAGGCACGCCGCCTTGCTTTTCACAAAAGCCCCACACCTGAAAAAGCTGTTGTCTCCAGAGCGACCCCGCAGTTTCCGCTATATCAACAAGTGTGCTCCAGCGCCACTTTGCGCTGGGATTTCAAAGCACCCGCAAGTTCTTGCAAACACGCAGGGGGGTCGTTCTTGGCCGGTGGGGGGGGTCGTATTTGATCGTTGTTGGTAGAGGGAGTGGGTCGTATAAGCCTTTGGGAGAAATTTGCAGCGTTGGAAAAATCTTCCAAATGCTGACATTTCGGTGAGATTTTTTTTTCCCTGTTTCATTGTGAACTTTATACCCTTCTGACAGCCTTCCTCCACCCCAGGGCACTTCTTGTTGGGGATCCCAACAGGGGTCGTATGTTGGCCATCAGGACGAGGGGAGTCGTATCTGAGCTGAGAAAAATTCATTTGTGATGCATGATTTTTTTTGTTCGTCGCTTCACGGACGTGTGTAACAAAAAAGGGGGGGGGGGGGTGTCGTTACTTGCTCGATCGTTGGGAGGGGGGGGGGGGACGTATACAGTTGCTTGCTTTGTAGGGAAGTGTGGTCAGTGGTGGTTGACTCGATTCGGATGAGGAGTACAGAGGGTCAGAGGAGGGGGTCGCTAACGACCCGCAAAAAGGGGCGGGGGGGTCATACAGACTGGACTAAAATCGCCCAACTAATGATTTACATGCTGTACTTCGTTGCTCAAATCGTTACGCACTCACAGTAAACAACTGGAGCCGGAAAGAGGGGAACGTACCACGATTCTTTTTTTTCAGGGAGGGGTCTTACTGCGCCCCCATTTTCACGCATCACGATGCTTTACCCCTCCAACTGTCTGTTTTTTTTAACTCGTTTTTAACTCGAAACACTATACTATTCCTTCATCTCTTTTGCTCTTCTCTTTATTCGGATGATTTCGCATATTTTTTAAAGACATGTTATCCGCTGTATTGAGAAGAACGAAGCGAATACATCAGTCGAGAGAGAGATATTCACTGCTGTTCCACTGTAGTGTTGTCGTTGCCGTAGAAAATCCATCTGAGACCAGCTGAAGCAAATTTTTTTAGCATCAAGTTAGTTCAATGATTATTTCAATGTATTGATTCCCGCTTACCGAGATATAACGACAACACAACAGAACAACAACAACAACAACAACAACAACAACTGTTGAAACATAAGACTGTGTTCATACGCCGCCATTTGGCCGCCTTAATCGCACTTGCGATTTGGTTGCTCAATCAACCAGCGACCTACCCGCGCAGTTCCGCGCTTCGTGCGATTTCGCTTGCCAACCGTGCGCGATTGGAGCGACCAAATGAACCCCGAAATGGGTGTAAACAAATAAAAAACTCGAAGGTGCCTTCAGCCCTCTGAGAGGGGATCAAAGCCCTGCTAACGTTCCAGGCAAAGAAAGGAAGGATATTGTAAGCTACGAAATGGTGCCAATTCAATTAGTATGCGAAGGTGACATGGGAGATAGATTCCATATCACGGCTGCATTCATTACTCGAGCGTAGCGCTGCAGCGCTCTATATGAGGTAATCTCGTTTTTGGACTCACACCTTTGACCAGCTAGAAGTACAAGGACAGCTTCCCATATGGAAATATCCCCGAAGAACACTACCTCTGCCAGATCATTTTAATTTTGAAAGCGTCCGCTTAAATTTGGATCAATGGACCATGAATTTTTGGTTCAGTCAAGAGTTGAGAAGGTACAAATAGATACAGATGAATGCTACATAGGGTCTCTATACTAAGCCATTCAAAGCTTACAATCGCTGAGGAGTTGTATTGTCCTTGGTAGTAAGGTTCATAGCATCCTCCAAGGCACTTTTGCAAGAACTCTTCGATGAAACCATATTGCGCTAACTTATTGTTGACCTGAATTCGAAAGCGTTCAAAACGACAGTAGAACCTCGAAATGTAATCGGCAAGTCAAAATAAAACGTCCAAAATTGAAGAAAAAACATGCATAAAAGCTTCAAACGGATGAGCTTTATCCACGAGAATGGGATATAGTGCATCCCAGTAGGGCTCATTTTATTCCGAGATGGCTTCGCTTAGAAGATTCCCGTAGCCCTCATTTTGCAATGCAGCTCCGCAGTTGCCGAGCATGTTTTTCTTACCCAACACAAATGTGTTTGATAAAAGAGTCATGGCTAAGCGACAACAAGCTAGCCCCGCCCACTTGAGCTAGACTCACCTCCATCAATCTGTTCCACCATCGCTATAAAGCAAGGGAGAAATCAAGATCATTTGTACATTCTCCAGTCATATTATCGCCTGCTCCAGCTCGGAACCAACATGGTATCGACCTAACCAGGAAAGGTCCACAAGTCAGTCCGGCCGTACGCAATGAGAAGTACATCGCTGTACTCGCCCCGGAACGCTGAACTCGAGATCATCTTCAAATTTTGCGGAACGATTCTGTGAGCGGAGTTATGGAGGTTTTTCTCCACTGTTTTTTTTCTTCGAAGGCGCGCTGGCGCCGGAGCGTTGGCACCTGTAGCGCGACACACAACGTCCTTCGTCAAAATAGGTATCATATTCGTATTCAGGGGGTCAAATCACCCCTAGCGACGGCAGTCTAGCGAAATCTGAGGTTCTGAGTCAACTTCGGAAAAAAGTAGTTAGGTTAGTAATGGCTGACTGGTAGCTAACAGCGACAGCACGACTAGAATGGTGGTGATGACTGATCTTCAAGTTAGAATAAATCTTTAGCCTTGTCTTTTCGCGGAGAACAATACCTGGCTCACTTATTCGTGCCGTCTGCATCATTTTTCTGATTACCGGGAGGAAATTCCATCCCGAGACCAGTCATCGATGGTAGGTGAGCTCCAATCTGCTGCTAATTACCCATGGAATAGCCCACATTTTCCAAGTTAGGTCGAAATATCAGATTTGGCTAGAAACTTGCCCCCAGAGGTTATTAGACCCGCCGAACACTAAAAATCATACTATTTCAATGAAATCTTAAATGTGTAACGAGAGAGGCAGGCAGAAGCCTTCCAGCCCACGATTAGTCCACACTTTTCAAAACAAACCGATCGCAGTTCACTACAGGTTGGTGCAGAGAGCAGAATGTTGGGAGCTTCGTCAGCCATTTTCACGAAAAACGTGTGAGCTCACGGGAACCGATCCCACGGCCTCTAGCCCGGGAACCCATTCGCTACCTGTTGCGCCCTACTGCCACGTATAGTACTGACGATCCACATATAGATAAAGACGCTTTCAGGTTTCCTCGCAATAGCATGTGAAACGACCGCGCGGGGATAAAACCCTCCATAACTCCGTTCAGAGAATCGTTCCGCAAATTCTGAAGGTAGATTTGAGTTCACCGTCTCAAGACGCGTACAACGGTGTGCACCTCATTGGAAATGGCCGGGCTGACCTGTTGACCTTTCCTGGTAAGGCGTTTTCAGCGGTTGGACTTGCTTTCCTCTTCACTACTATATCACTCATTACATGCTTTAACGATTCGCAGCCCTACACCCAAATTGGATCCGTCATTAAGGGAGTAACTGTGCATTATGGAAGCCTCGCTATGTGTTCCTGTGCATATGCGCAATATACTTTGGATCATTTCACACATCTATTTTAAATTTCGCTCAAGTATTCAGGACTTTCCCCTCTTATGCGCAGCTGGGAGAGCTCGAAGTGCGTTCAGATAAGTTTGAGCCGCTTCTGTATATAGTATACGTAGTTAACCTATATAGTTAACCGGTTTTGAAGAGAATTGTGGCCCTGCCAATTGTGACGACCTCATTTTTCTATCCGTTGCATTTGCTGCGAGAGACTTTCTTGTTTTCATGATTCCGTACCGCCCTACCATGTTTGTTCATGGCTGTAATACGCAAAATACAAGAAGCAAAAAACCCAGCGCAAAAATTAACATCCATAAAAAATGTCTTACAGACTCATCATGACCGTGACTCCATCAGTCTCTATCATCTATCAACTCCAACAGCGGTCATCTTATATATATAATATTCTTTGGCGTTTCGATCACGTAATCTACTTACTATGAGTCGACACCAAAAATGCCAAAGAGCACCCACGCAATTCATATCTATTATAAACTCCTGGCCTGACGTCTTTTTTTCTTGGTTTGCGATTATCAATGTATAGATCAGGGCAGCACGGTGGCATCGCCAGCTGGTGTTTTTCCACAACGGAGGGAGTCGTATTTCACCGCGAGGGACTGGGTGAGGGTCGTGTTTGGTCTGAGAAAAATTTTTCTTGGTCAGTTCTCTTGCTTCACGGACAGCTATAGAGGAAGGGGGGGGGTCGCGGGTCGTATTTGGCCGTTGTTGAGAGAGAGGGACCGCCGAAGATCCAACTACTATATCTGATAGTTGAGAATGATAGTTAAATCCTGACGACCTCCCCCCCCCCCCCAGCTCGACAGCAAAATTTTGAGGAAAAACCAGATGGAAATTTGGAAAAACTGTTAGGAGGTTAGGGAGGATCTGAGAGCATGGGCAGGGTTATTTAGTTGAGAATAGATTTAGAGGGGGGCGAGGTCGTTTTCATTTCAAGGAATGATCACAACGCAATGGCGTTCCCTCATGTAATTTCCATCACCAATCTTATTCATATCCAGTAAGCCCCTTATTCGTATCCATTTCTGAAACAGCCCCGTATCCTGTTCTGTGAGGCCGCGGTAGACATGAAGAACGTTTCACTGATCTTTTTCCGATCCCTCAGATGGTGAAGGTCTCACTCCGAATAGCCACTTCGAACTACAACTTGAGCGCTCGTCAACATACTAAAACCTATAAACTGCATACATGTGAATACCGGAGAACCTCGTAAACCACCCCCCCCCCTGTAAACCTTGCTATCACAAGGATTCTGCGTACGGCTTAACTAAGCCTGTAAGCTGACATAATGTCCCCATCACGTCTGCCCCTTCCAAGGTTATTACCGTCCACATACCTTCACAAAACCGTGTCCCTCATCGGGATAGAGCACATAGGTCACAGAAATGTTATTCTTTCGTAGATTGTCCACGAACTGATCTGAAAAGCTGAGTCTTGAATATGAACGGAGCAATTTTCAAAATTCAAGCTGCACCCATACGAAAGCGAACAATCTAAGGAGAACCCACCAGATTCCTCTCGTTTGACACGAGCATCATTGGCACCCTGCATAATCAGCAGTGGCTTCTTCACGCGATCGGCCAAAAACAGCGGCGAACGAGCGATGAGCGATTGACGGCCGGCCTCACTAAAATGTCAAAAACTCACACATTTATCAAATACTCAAAAAGTACGATGCCTACATGATTTGAAGGAAGGCTCACCTATCGATATTGCCTCCCATCATTCGAGCAAGCATCTTGCGTTCTCCGTGCCAGTATGGCGGGATCGTCTTTTGCAGAGTGACCAAATTCGATGGGCCAAAGATGTCCACACCACAGGCAAAATCGTCCGGGGTGAACGTGAGCGCGACTAGTGTTTCATAGCCTCCGTAACTTGCACCTTCAACATTTTTCATATTTTTAGACTTTTAGTTTTTCGGTTTTTAATTCCTGATTCCCTCCTGACTAGCCACATATCGTCCATATCAGAAGGCGGCACGGCATACCGGTGACGGTCGCTTACACATACCTCTCCGCAGCTATTTCGTTGTTCATCGCAGTCGATTCCAGCTATTAGGTCGTTGCAAAAGAAATGCAGGATTTCGTTTTTTTGTATTTAATACTTATTTTATTCCAATAAAATGTAAGTGTTATATATCATTCGAAAGCTTATCTAATGCTCTTTCTAAATGATACTTCAAGATTGGTTGTAATTCTTTTTAGAGGCCACAAAATCGTTGAAGGCGTTTTTGGCATCGTCTTGGTTTTTGAAGCATTTCTCTTCTAAGATAGTTGTCCAGATGCTTGAAAAAGTGGTGATCGGTGGGCGACAGGTCTGGTGAGTATGGTGGATGAGGCAGAGTTTCATAGCCCAATCCGTTTATTTTCTGGAGGGTAAATTGTGCAAAGTGTGGTCGGGCATTGTCGTGGAGAAGAGTCCGGAATCGTGGAGTCCCTTCATATTGACCAACCTTGGGCACATGCGTTAAGGCTTCTGATGCATTTCGTCGATTTGTTGACAGTACTTCTCTGCCGTAATTGTTTCACCAGGATTCAGGAAGCTGTGATGGATGAGACCGGCGGCAGACCACCAAACATGAGGTTCATCTTCAAGGCTGGTGTTGCCAGAACGAAACTTCTGGAACCAACGTTGGACCGTACATTCGTTGACACTTCCTTGACCCCAAACTTCGTTGATGTTCCGAGCTGTATCGGCAGCGTTTCGTCCTAGCTTGAACTCATAGAAGAAAATAGTGCGAAATTCACGTTTCGACATCTGCAATAAAATGTCAATAAAAATTATAATAAAATGAATTACAACCAATCTTGGAGTATCATTTAGAAAGAGCATGAGATGAGCTTCCGAATAGTATATAACACTTCATATTAAAGTAACATATTATTGGAATAAAATAAGTATGAAATACAAGCAAGCAAAATCCTGCATTTCTTTTGCAACGACCTAATAACTATTAGTGTATGCCTCTTTTCTCTCTCAGATAGGGAATGCAGGTGTTATCAACCAACAGAAGCCAAAGATGACATGACTTTTTGAACAGCAGTTTGACTGTGAACGCAGGAAATGCTTTAATAGAAGTCTGGATCAGTGATCAAAGGTACGATCAAAGGTAGCAAGAAGCCACTGTACGACGCCGCGCACATCTGCGCGTGTGGCAAAGCATTTGATCAGCCCTAATCCGCTCTACCATAAATGCATGCTGTCCTCCTTCACACCACTTTTCATTTTTACAAGACGCATCAAATTGCTGGCTAGGCATGGTTCATCGTATCGCTAGAGACTCCAGAAGTGATTGCGGATGCCAATAGCACTTCACAATTTGAAGAAAATGGGTTCCGAAGTCTTCTTCAATTTGGCTTTCATCAAACACCGTTGCAGAGCCTGCTATTCTTGTCAAGCATCGTTCCTTCTTCCTATGCAGTGTATTTAATGCCATGAAGTTCACTTCAAAGAGGTCCTTTCCTATGACGTCACTACATCTTTTCTTTGAGCTCCTGATGGACGCTTTTCCCTTGAACTTCAGAGGAAAAGGCTTATCTTTGGGCGGTCTTCATGCCTTCTCATCACGTGCCCATTCCATCGCAGTTGCTATCTTCTCCCCATGAGAGCGCCCCAAAGCCTCGTTCTGACTATCTTCGATCGCTCCCAATCGCGAACCTATCCTCAGCACCTTCACTTCAAGTGACTGGAGCTGTATCTCATCGTTCTTGCTTATGGGTCAGCAGTCGCCGTCATCGTAGGCCTACCCCCACGCGGTGCACATTGTTCTTGAGCACTTTGTACCATTGCTGATGCCGAAGATACAAGTAAATTATTCGCATTTCATCTATGCCACATTTACTCAAGTTCTTGACGCTTGGCTCAAGCCACCATCAACCGCTGGATTGCTCCCCAAAATGAAAGTTTCGACCCTCTCGGTGTTTCCTCAATTCCAAACTTGGTGGAGTTCGGTATTTTATACAATACCGCTCCTAATTTCTGGTCAATCGACGGTTTGCGACAGATTTTTCCGTCGCAAACCGTCGTTTTGCCATAACTTCTGTAAAGTGGTCCAAATGATCTGAAATTCAGACCATTCGATAGTCCTGTACAAGACGAATCCAATGATGTATGGACCTTCCACTTTCCTCCAATTTTTTGACGTTTTCCCCAAGGAAATCGAGGTTTGAGTCTCCAGTAACCTAAGGTGTTACCTGCGGACACGGCTGCGTCGTCAACCCTCCAG